ACCTGGACACCCTGGGCCTGGCAGCACCTCACCCCCATCCTGCGCCCCTTCTCACTCTCCACCGCCTGGTGCTGCGCTCCCTGAGGTTCCCCCCTCCTGGGCTCCTCCTGGCTCCCTGCTGCTTCCTCCTCACTCCCCTCCCGCACCACAGGGCCCCAGGCTCTCCTGTAGCCACTCTGGCCTTGAGGTGGTGGCCCAGACTCTGTCCACTGGACCCTCCCGCAGCCCCAGCCTCTCCCTGGCACTTCCCGTCTCCAACCAGATGTCTCAGAGGCACAGACACAAACTTCCAGAAGCCAAAATAAGGCCAGATCTTCTCTCGAAAATGTCCCCTCCTGCAGAGTTGGCAGTTTCAATTCTGAGATTTCCAGGGAACCACAGTGGCGACACCCTGTGGGCTTCTGTGACCTCAGTGATGTGTGCGGAGTCATCGTCAGTGTCCACTCAGTTGTGAGATGGAGGCGGTGGGCTCTGGGCTGCTGCCCAGCGTGCACTGTGCCACCCTCAGCAAACCTGCTGCTTCCCGGGTGCCCAGAACCAGCTTCCCACCCAGACCGTCACTACCCTGCGCTGCGTCCCCCTGTTGGCCTCCTTGCCCACCCCACCCTGTGCAGGCTTCCTGGGCGCTGCAGTCGGGGCGACCCCATTAAAGTAGGTTTCAGTTCATGTCCCTCTTCTGCTCAAGATGCAGAATAACTCAGATGAATCTACGTGGAATGTTGTAGAAGTAGGGATCTGGTCAAGCACCTGGAACAACTGGCAAGTTATCTGCTGAAGGAAGAGGGGATTTCACGGTGGCTGCCGACCCTGTGCTCAAACCATGGTGCATCCAGAGGCCAGTCAGGGGCGAAAGGGGGAGCCAGACTGGGGCTGCTGAGCCGGGATCCTGGGGCACAGAGGTTCTCTGGGCCTGAGGAGAGGGAAAGGCCAGCGCAGTGGAGCGCAGTGCTCACCGTGGCCCTGCTTTTCCTGCCCCAAATGCCAGGGCAAGCTGCTCCAGGCCCCTCCTGTGCAGTGAGGGGCAGGTCATGCTGATGCCCAGGGGGTGGGGGAGGCAGGAAGGAGCCGGAGGGGAGCTGGCTCCAGGGAGTGGTTTTGCCTGAGGCTGAATTGAGAAGCACTTTGGTGCAGGTGGGCAGAGGTAATAGGGATGGGGGACACGGGAGGAAAGGGGCCAGGTCTCTGGTTGGGCTGTGGGGACAGAGTGCCATCAGGGGGATGGAGAACCAGCAAGTGAAGGGGGTTTAGGGCTGTGTTAGCCACGCACTTCTGAGGTTCTGACACCCAGGACCCCGAGTCACTGCCTCTCCTGGAGCCAATCCCTAGGGCTGGGGAGGAGCCAAACCCCTGGGCAGTTCTCAGAAGAGGAAGCCCACACTCACATGGATCTGGAGCTCATTCCCTGGGCACGGAGGGGCGGACATCTCAAGGCCAAGGACTCCACTGGTGGAAACCCTAGGTCCAGAGCAGAGAAGGAGCAGAGGCGTGGTCCTGCCTCTGTCTTGGGTGCTATCTGGAGCAGCAGGACCAGAACCAAGACCCAGGTAAGGGTTCGAGGTTCCCCATTCTGAGGTGTGTTTCTGAGCACCACTGTGTACATCAGGTGTGTCACCTCCTGCCTGTTGGAAAGAGGTCCAGCCTCATCCACACACATGGCCTTGGTCCTGCAGATGTTTTGGTAGGAGGTTGGGCGTGGGTAAGGTCCGGCCCTTAGGGCTGGGCTCCACCCAGGGCCCTCACAGCACTCCATCTGAAGTCCTTCCTGTGAGGGGAAACAGGGGCATCTTGTAGTTAAAGGGAGGAAGTTGGGCCGCCAAAAGAGGAATTCAAGATTGTGAAAGAAAAAGTCCCCAATCTTGGGCACGCGCAGTAGCCCAGGGACTGACAAGTTAACTTTCACCAATGAACACCATTAGCACTGAGGTTTGCTCCCGCTCTGTGCATTTTGGGTGGAGAAAGATACTTTGGCTTGGGCAGAAGAGATCATGTGAAATTCAGCTGTCAATCAGGGTGCCAGTCAACACCAGATCCCCCAGGGGAGAAGGCAGGGAACCAGCACAGCCCTGTAAAAGCCAGCTCCACTGTGCCCATGGCGCCTTGAGCTACTCCCCAGCTCAACCTGTTCTGCGACACTTTCTCTTGCAATGAACCTCTGTCTCACCTGCCAGCCTCTCCTGTCCCCCTCAGTTCTGTGCTTGGGATGCCAAGAACCTGGACCTGGGACCCCGGCTCCCTAGCGGTGCCCAGTAAGATCACTGGCAAGACAGCCAGGAGGTAAACAGGTGCCAGCCAAGGTCGGTGAGTCTTTACTCTCTGCCACACTCTTGGCGGAACTCGTTGGGATTTGGGGTTTCATTGTGTTTTCCTTTTTACCTCCTGACGAGCCTGTTTCCCCCCACTTCTCAGCCACTGCTGCACGGAGCCCCACGGTTAGACTTAATCTGTGCTGGAAATAAGACAGAGCCCACCAACGCAGGCACGTTGTGCAATCATCCAGTGCCCCAACGCCACGGCCTTTCTAAAGGAAATAAGCTGGGCCCGAGCTCAATCCTCTTCGCTGACTGCTTCTCTGCTTGGGGCGTCCCTCTGGGCCCCCACACCCTTCTCAGCCTTCTGCAAGCTCTCATTCCCTCCCGGCCACTCTCCCCTGGCCTTGCTTGTGGATGTCACCTCCTCCCAAACACCTCCTGTCCCTTCTGTGATGTTCATCACAAATTCCCTGCCTGTGAGGAATGGGGGGTATTAACTGTGGTTAATCTGGATGACTGGACGCCATTGAAGGGCCCCAGTACAAGCCAGGGAATTCCGAATTCCCCTGAAGGGGAGTCAAAATCCTCGCCAGCTAGACCTCGTCTGTGGGAGACAGAACAATGGCCAGAAGCCCCTGTGCAAACCTTCCCGGCCCCTGCCAAGCCCCTCTTCTGTGCATCAAGACCTCTTGGGGCTCCTAGAGCAACCACCCCAAATCCAGATGCTCTCTTGTCTCTCGGGGAGACAAATAACCCCCTCCATACCTCCCACCAGAGGAGAAAGGGTCTTATTGAAATCCCAGCCACTGTGGGACATGCCTGGCTGCTCTCTCCTTTCCTGTACCCGGGGACTCTGCTCTCTGTAAGGTCCTCTCGATGGTGACTGCACAGGGGAGGAGTTTTCTTTTTCTTCAGAACATTTTCCTGAGGTCCACCCTCTCCATGGACCTAATGGGCTCCCACATTTTTAAAATGTCTGGGTTGAGACTGATTCAAAGGGCACTGTCACTGTGGTCTGATGTAGATGTTCTATATGCTCCTTTACTAGAATAATTATGGCCATTTCTTAAACAAACAAACTTCTGTCTTTTGTGAGCTCATGGTTTTTCTGGTGAATTCATCTTGGTCCTGCACATCTGAAATAATATTTTGTTTGTTCTGATTTGTTTCATTTTGTCTAACTGGAGTTTTTTAAGCCTATGTTTTTTTTTTTTTTTTCCTGCTGTCTTTATTCAGAGGTCAATTAATCATGGGTTAATTCTCAAATACCCTGGAAAAGGAAAGAGATCATCTCCTTGGGGTGACGTGGATCTGCCTCGTGGATGGACAGCTGGCCACCTGAGCCGTTGATTCAGTCCAGACGTGATCGGTAGACCCTGCCTCAGCCTTGCCACCTGTCCAGGCCTCCCGGGTCCATGTCCTACTCTGTACTCTCACTAAAAGGACATCTGTGATGGACTCTGTCTTTATTTACAGGGAGTCAAATCTGACAGTCCGTGTAATATTTCTTGTCTGTTTTCAGGTACCTTTTTGCACACCTGTGTTTTGCATGTGATACATGCTCTGTATCATTTTCATGACACCAAAATCGGCTTATAAGTAAATGAGCCCTCATAAATTCAAAGAAATGGAGCCAAGTAACTTTTATGACTTAAGTAAGCCCTTAATAAAAAGGTCAATTTATTTATTTACTTTTAGAAGATCAATTTAAACTGGTTAAAAAGATAAAAGTAGATGTCACTGAAATTACTAACCCATGTTTTTTTCTAGGTGGTCGGCCAATCAAGAGAGCATTGGTTTCTATGAAATATTTATAGTGTCCATTGCTTTTAAGGTTTTTCTTCATCAGGAAAAGATAGCTCAACGTTTACTAGTTTTAACTTATATTTGGTTTTCATTGGTAACCTAAAGTTAACAGTTAAAAATGGGTAAATTAGATTTCACATCAATGAGATCAATCTTTATGAATGTGTTTGTAAAAAGAGACATAGGATTAATTTGCAAAGTTAAAATACAAAGCATCAACTACTAAATATATATCTTAAACTCTATAAGAAATATTTGGTTCTACTAAATGTGTTTATATATATTGTTGGTAAGTGAAAAATCATTTTGATTGTTTTATTTCTGGGTTTTTTTTTCACTAAAAGCAAGGTTGCCAACAGTTAGGGCTCTAACAGATGTGATTCTACATGGAAGAAGTGCAAAAGGTTTCACCTGTGTTCACATTTAAAATCATGTAAGGATTTGTCTAAGGTCGAATTTTGATGTGATGATATAAAAACCAAAATCTATTTCTCTTAAAACAATGAAGTCTTAGAACATTAATCTCTCTTATCTATCTATCAAGATGATTTCTTGTTTCTATTAGGTGTTATTACTTAGGGTAACTAAGTCTTAAAGGAATTAGGGAATCCTAGCTAATTTAAACATTTTAAATGATTCTTTGTAACCATGATTATACAAACAACAGTTATTTTAGGTTACCAACACCCTAAGCATATGTGACTAGAGATATGTATGCATCTGAGAACTAAATATGTTTGTCCAAGCATTATTTGAAAGTTATTAACATGAAAGCTACTTAAGTTTAGCATCAGATAATAAATCTATTTCTGATCATTAACACTGTTTCTTAAATTTATAAAGGATTTTATATGTGATTGAGTTGATAAATTTATGAGTCTTTGTAGAGGCTAAATAGATGTCAAAGATACATTGTTGATATTATAGAAATTATGTTTCTTAGTTTAGAGCTATTATACAAACTAGGTAAGTTCTTGTTCTTGTTACTTTCCCTTGGAAACTCTTGCCTATAAGATAATAAGCCATCACCTATAGGATAGGATATAATGCTGACTTCCAGTACTTGTACTAACCATGTTTAGATGGTAACTGTGCGATTACAGACTTTAAGGTTAACACCATGACTCCACCTCAAGACTCTTTAAGACTGGATGTTTAAGATCAAAACTGGATGTTTAAGACCAAAGCCAAGGAAGTAGAGGGGCCAAGGAAAAAGCAGCTAATATTTTAGCCTTTACTTATAAGGTCGACTGGGATCCAGGGAATGATAGGACCCCTCAAAGGGCCCTGCAACTCCAGTGTCACCCAACCTCCTAATCAGGGGAATCCTGAGGACCCTAGAGAACAGGAACCAACCAGTGTACATTCTGCAAAGAGGTGGGTCATTGGTTAGGAAAATGTTCCTGATGCTTCCAAGAGAAGCACATGTGGTCAAAAAGACCCTGACCCATCCTGGCAAATGGCAAAATTGGTAGAGGAAAAAAATCAAAGGATCCAAGAGGTTGCTCACATGTTCCCAATAGTGACTCCTGAGGAATCTCAGACGACCCTGACAGTAGATAGGAAAATGGTCTACCTTTGAAGACTCAGTCTTAAACACCCAGCAAAAAAGTATAACCAAGCCACAGTCAAACATGGATGTTTGAAAGAAAAGACAGTGGATCTCTTGATGTAAGTTGAGATGTGTACATGAGTCAGCCCTCCCAAGAGGAAGGAACACTGGGGGGTTGTCATAATGAGAGGCTGCTGTGTGGGAGAGGCTAAGAATAACTACCACAAAGCACTGATAGAGTCCCAAGTCTGTCCTGAGTCAATTTGAGCCTAATCTTGCAGAACTACAAATCCTCCTAACCACCTACGTGAGCAGACGCAGTGTGTATTTTTGGTATTGCTAGTATATCTAGCCCCAATATGAATAGAGCCCCTAATGACCATCTCCACTCACACCTTTAACATCATCCCTAGTGCAGAATGGGCTATACAGCCAGTTCCTCCCCTAGGAGGATGGGGGCAACCGCTGGAGGGGGCACAGAGGTCGGAGGACTAGCGACCTCTCTCTCCTATCCCTAGGGTTTGTCCAAAGATCTTTCTGAGAGTCTAGAGGAAACAGCAAAAGGCTTAATTACCCTTCAAAACCAGGAGGATTCTGTGTCTTCTTGGAGGAAGAATGTTGCTTTTAGGCAAACCAATCCGGGATTGTTAGAGATACAGCAAGAAAGCACCAGATGGTACCTTCCGAATCCAGTGGTTTTAGAGTCATGGGGATTTCATGGTCAAAAATGTAGAACTGGGTGTCTTGGTGGTTACCTTTGGCAGGAGGTATAGATATATGTGTGTGTGTATATAGATTGTTGGTAAGTGAAAACTCATTTTGGTTCCTCTGTTTCTGGGTTTTCACTAACAGCAAAGTCACTAGCAGTTAAGACTCTAGCAGATGTGATTCTACAGGTAAGAAGTGCAGAGGTTTCGAGTGTGTTCACAGAGCAGAGGGGCTGGCCGTGCCCAGGAGACAGCTGCCTACAGCCCAGAACCTTCAGGTCACTCCCTGAAGCAAAGCTGGGACGTCCTTTTCCTGGATGAGGGCTTGGGTTTTCTTCCAGAGGAGGAACAGTGCCTAGGGGTGAGAGTGGGTGCAGGTCCTCAGCCCTGGTCCTCTTCCCTTCTGAGAAGAGGAGTCCCCTCCTCCCCTGCTCTAGCCTGCTGCTGCAGGTGACACCAGGGAGAGGAGCAGCTGCGTGGCCACTGACAGGCACTCCTGCTCAGACGAGCTGTGGCCAGCTGGGCCAGGCCTGTGGCACAAGTGCCCCATGAGGCAGTGAGGGCGAGGCTGGAGTGCAGGCAGAGGCCGGCAGGAGGCTGAGGCTCTCTGAAGAGGGAGGCTGGCAGGGGAGGGACATCCCACCTTCAGAGGACACCAGCACTCACAGGTGACAGGAAATGGCCTAACAACACCAGGAACAGGGGTCCTTCCAGGGAAGACAAGGGACTCCCTGGTGTTACTCCTCCTGGGGACTAAGGACAGAGGTACCTGGCGGAGGTGAGGGGCAGGGGAGGAGTGTAGAGCGGGCAGTAGGGGAGCAGGCAGGCCTCTGCTCTCTTCTTCACTGGAAAGCTCAAGTGACCGCTGTGGGATCAAGAGGCTGAGCTTAGAACGCAGCCCGTTTTAGGGCCATGGCAGGCATCTCCATGGCAGGACCCTGGGACACCTGGTCCTGGTCCTCTCTCATGGACAGCAGTGGAGGTGGGCGGCCTTGCTCCTGAGCCGGCTGGACCCAGGAGGACTCTGCTCTGGATATGTGAGCACAAGGTACAAAGGGCTTCCCACCCCGTGTCCTAGGGCCCAGTCTGCATGGTCTCCACGGAGTGGGAGCAGGACAGCCAGGGTCTCTTGGAGGCCCAGCTTAGTGCCTGCATCCCACAGAGCCCAGGCCTCTGGGGACCCCCAGACCTGAGACTAGGACTCTCAAGGTTGTCACAGGAGGGGACAAAGATATTCCAGTTGTTTGGGGAAGGGAGGGTCTGTCAGGAGTCCAGCTGCAGAGAAGCAGGGACCTCCGGGATTTGGGACGCAGCAGCGGCCCTGTGAGGTGGAGCTTCACACTGGGCCTGGCCCCTGCATGGGCTCTTCCTGCTGCACCTTGTCCTGACTCCCTCTGGGCACTTTGCTTTTCCAGGAGAGAAAGGAGGGGCAGCTGGGGTCACTCCTGTCCAGGGTTCTGTGCTCTCAGGGTGGCACCTGGCACACACAGGTGAGGAGACCACAGGTCTGAGGTGTGGTGTGAGACCAGGGGGAAGCCAGGTCTTAGGAGAGCTCCTCTGTCTTGGAAGTGGCTCTAGAGTTTGGTGGCAGCAGTGGCCACACTGCCCACCTCTGTGGGAGTGCTGGCAGTCCCCAAACTTGGGGATCTCATAGGAGCCATCTTCCCCATAGCAGGCAGACACGCTGGGGAGAGTGGTCCATGTCAAGCAGTTGCACTTCTCAGAAGGACAGGGGACACCGAGGTTGTGTCTGGACACTGTCAGCACCACCTTCCTCTGTGCCCCGTGGGCGGGAGCTGCAGGACCTGCAGAGGACCCTCCAGGTCTCCCGCTGCACTTCTAGGGGTGCAGGACTCGCCCGTGCTTGCCTCAGGCCTCTGGTCAGCCCTGAGGGGAGCAATGAGGGCCCAGCCCACCTCCCAGGTGCTGCTGTGGGTCCAAGCTCGGCCCTCGGCCGTCTCCTCCATTGCTGTGGGTCCTTGCAGCCCCGGCCTTGCCCATTTTGAAATGCGGTTTGTTCCTTTGTTGCTGAGTGTGGCTTTTTAAAAACTGGGATCATTTCTTTTGGTAACCGATTTTGTTTTGTTTTGAGAATCCTCGATGCATTCTGGAGACTGACATTCCCCTATTTTCTGGTGTTTTCTCCCAGAGTGTAACTTGTTTTCTTATCCATTTGGTGGTCTTTTGCAGGAGAGCAGGCTCCTGTGCCCTGACATCTGAGCTACGCCTGAGACCATACGGTGACAGGGTGGGAGGGCTGAGCAAGGCCATGGACAGGGGCAAGGTCTGTGGAGCTCAGGCAGCTGGTGGGCTGAAGGAGTCCCGGCCTTAACCCCGGAAGCTAAAGATGGTCCCCTGCAGACGTGATTCAGTTACGGACCTTGAGCAGTGGGGACCATCCCGGAGCATCCAGCAGGCCCCTGAATCCTGTCACGAGGGTCTCTCTGTGGGGGAGGAGGCGCCCGTTCCAGGGGAGGACACTGGGCACCCAGAGAGGCAGAGGCAGAGACCGGGGTGCGGCAGCCAGGGAGCCAGGCTGAGGACCTGGGAGAAGCCGGGGGTGCACCCCCCCGAGGGTCTCTGCGGGGAGGGACGCCTGCGGGACACTTATATTTGGGCCCAGGGACACTGATTTCAGATTTCTGGCCTCTAGAACTTTGAGAGAGTGAAAAGCTCTTTGCTGGAGACATCAGCTGTGACGCAGTTTGTTTCTGGGGCCACCAGAGAAGGATGGGGCCGGGCTTCACGGGCAGCTGAGGGGACAGCAGAGAAGGACCTGGGCCGAGGCCTCCCCCTCCATCGCCTGCAGCTGTTTGGAAGGCTCTTGGTCTCCCTTTGCCACCTCCCTTCTTCCAGGTTTTGCTGGGACTTTCCCAGGGGAGCCCCACGACTCCATGAAAACTGCTGTCGTCCATGACCTTAGACCCAAGGTCGGGCCCTGGACCTGTCAACACTGCTGGAGGAAGACGGGGTGCAGCTCCGTGACCTTGGCCTTGGCAATGATCTATTTTTTTTGCTATGACCCCAAAAGCACAGATAAGAAAAGCTGAAATAGAGAAATGACATTGCAGCAAGATGGACAGCTTCTGCCCAGCCAAGAAGGTGATGACTGGGACGAAGAGGTGACCTTGGAAAGGAGAGGACACTCAAGGGCAAGGGCCTATGGTCCAAAACGCACAGGTGGAGGGTGCCCCAGGGGACAAGGTCAATGTGATGTGCACACATTTCACAGCAAGAAAACAAATGACCCAATTAGAAATGGTCAAAGACCTCAATGGACATTTCTCAAAAGGAGGTACATATGGCCAGCAGTTATATTTAAAAACACACCATGTCACTAATCATCAGGAAAATGCAAATCAGACACACAATGGGAGGTCTCCATGCCCCCTTGTGTCAAAAAGAGAAAAGTATTGGCAAAGACACAGGGAAAGAAGCCTCTCTGTGGGGATGTCCGTCAGCAGAGCCGCCGTGTGGAAGAGCACAGCCCCAACCCTGAGAGAAGGACCCGCCCAGGACCCATCAGTCCCACTGTGGGAGTCAGTGACTAAAGCAAAGAAA